ACAACATGACTATATAATTGTATCAAACATGAAGTATCAATGGATGCTAAGTGGAACAGGATGCTTATACAGTTTCAAACTATCTTCCCATAAGTTATATATTAATTACAAAAGGAAAAAGATTACTAGTACAGTGGAGAATCTGGCAGACAACTTGAACTAAGTCATCAAAGTCAAATAAAACATCACCAATGGGACAAACAGATATCATGTACCCCTTGATATGATGCACTGAGAACACATCATCACTTTTGTGATACTATTGCCAACTACAGCTGATCATGAAGGACAATCCCAAACTGAGAGATATACTACTAAATAAATGTCCTATATTGTTATAAAAAGACAAGGTCACATAAACAGACATTCACCAAAGGCATTTAAGCAGCTAACAAACACATGAAAAAATGCTCATTAGCTATTAGAGAGATGTAAATCAAAACAATGAGGTATATCTCACCCCCACCACTAACAGTGAAATTCAAAAAAACAGAAAACAAATGCTGGTGAGGTTGTGGAAGAACTGGAACCCTGATACACTGCTGGTGGGACAGTAAAATGGTGCAACCATTGTGAAAAATGGTATGGCGCTTCCTTAAAAAGCTGGAAATAGAAATACCATATGATCTAGTGATCTAACTATTAGGTATATATCCTAGAGAAAATAAGAGCTGTGACATGGATAGATATGTGCACATCCATATTAACTGCAATATTCCCAATAGCAAAAAGCTGGGAACAACCTAAATGCTCATCAATGATCAACAAACTATGGTATATACATACAATATAAGACTACATAACATTAAAGAACAATGATGAATCTGTGAAGTATCTCATATCACGGATGAACTCAAGAAGCCATTTTGCTGAATGAAATTGTTCAATCACAAAAGGACAAATACTGTATGAGACCACTATTTTTGTAAAAAGTCAAGAAAGGGGTTTCACAACAAAAGAAATATTCTTTGATGGTTACCAGGGGTGGGTGGACAAGAGACAGTAAACTACTAACTAAAAGGTAAAAAACAAAACAAAAACTTACAAAGTATCCAGAATATATAAAGAACTCTTGTTGTTTGTTGTTGTTAGGTGCCGTTGAGTTGCTTCCGACTCATAGTGACCCCATGCACAGCAGAACAAAACACCGCCTGATCCTGCTCAGCTCCATGATCCTTGCTATACTTGAGCCCATTGTCGCAGCCACCGTGTCAATCCGTCTCGTCGAAGGCCTTCCCCTCTTTCGTTGACCCTCCACCCTACCAAGCATGACATCCTTCTCCAGGGAATGGTCCCCTCTGACAACATGACCAAAGTAGGTGAGACGAAGTCTTGCCATCCTCGCTTCCAAGGAGCATCTCGGCTGTACTTCCTCCAGGACAGATCTGTTAGTTCTTTTGACAGTCCATGGTACCTTCAGCATTCTTCACAGTCCCACAACTCAAAAGCATCAACTCTTCTTCGATCTTCCTTATTCATTGGCCAGCTCTCACATGCATACGAGGCGACTGGAAATATCATGGCCTGTGTCAGGCGCACCTTAGTCCTCAAGGAGACATCCCTGCTCCTCAGCACTTGAAAGAGTTCCTTCACAGCTGACCTGCCCAGTGCTACACATCGTCTGATGTCCTGACTGCTGCTTCCATTGGCATCGATTGTAGAACCAAGCAATGTGAATTCTTTGACATCAATCTTTTCTCCATTTATCATGATGCTGCTTATTGGTCCAGTTGTGAGGATTTTTGTCTTCTTTATATTGAGATGTAATCCATACTGCAGACTGTGTTCCTCAGTCTTCATTAGTAAGTGCCTCAAGTCATCCTTACTTTCAGTAAGCAAAGTTGTATCATCAGAGTATCTCAGGTTGTTAATGATTCTTCCTCCAATTCTGATACCATGTTTTTCTTCATATAGTTCAGCTTCTCAGATTATTTGCTCAGCATATAGAATGAATAAGTGTGAGGAAAGGATACAACCTTGACGCACTCCCTTACTGATTTTAAATCATGCAGTGTCCCCTTGTTCTGTTCGAACGACAGCCTCCTGGTCAAGGTACAGGTTCCTCATGAGTACAATCAAATGTTCAGGAATTCCCATCTTTCTCAATGTTACCCATAATTTGTCATGATCCATACAATCAAATGCCTTTGCATAGTCAATAAAACACAAGTAAACATCTTTCTGGTATTCTTTGCCTTGAGCCAAGATCCATCTGACA